CGACAATTTATTACAATTATTAATTTTAGCAACTCAAAAAAAGCCTCTAACATCACAGTCGCAAGTAGTAACTGGTAAACTAACAGTTAGTGTTATTATTTTTGCAAATTTTGAAAATATTGAAGAAAGACTGATAGACTGGTTTGTTCGAAATTCATTTTATATACCAGCTATATGTATTATATATATTATGTAGTATATCGTCACCAAAAATGCAAAATGACGTATCATCTAAAAAATTTTTAAAAATGCTCGTCAGATAAATTTTGTTTCAATATGAGTGTATGATATCCAATATATAGTATAACCATTTTATAACCAAAACTCAAATTTTGTTTCAATATTAGTGGTTTCTTTTATATAATTTTTCTTTGCCTGTAAACTTATGAAAATTAAAGTTACTTTATTATGAATTTTAGGTGACGATATGCTGGATTCAACTAGGAGAGCCTAGGCAATGCATATTTAAATTTTTTGCAGCACTAAACAGTCTTCAACTCTCTTCCAAAWTTTTAAATTATTTTTCATCATATCGAGAAAAAACTCAGACTTGTTATTTTAGATCTTAAATTTTTGTTACATTTACCAAGGGCCATACTAACTACTAAGAACTTTCCACCTACTTCTGAGTTAGGTTAACTTTGACATCCTATAACAAATGCCGAGTATTTCACACCAACGCTGATATATCAAAACAGCAACATAATCTTATTAGATAATTCAAAGCTTTTCTCATCCTCTCCATTCGAAATTCTAGTATGCTTGTCAGCTATATGTTATTCAAATATTCCTGAGAGCCAGATCATATACAACTTTAATACTCCGTTTGAGAAACCTTTGCGGAGTATTTATATTTATGATATTGCTGCCGCCATGATTTTTTTAATTACGAGTTAAATATGTATGTAAATATAATTCCATTCATTGTTTCTCTGTTGTTTCTATATTTTACCATTTTACACTCTGACTTTGTCTGCTCACTAATTGAGTAATGAGCTTATAGCAATTTCACGCCACAAGCTTCCAATTCGACGTTAGGAAAAGGTCTTTTCTCGCATTAACTGTTTAATTGCATTTGCAATCGAAGTGATTTGCGTTGAAAAGGAGAGCAATGCGGCTGTCGATGTGGAAGTATAGATGTTGGGCTATGAGACCACCATATCTTAGTGATATGAGTGAGTGATGSAGATAGTGATAAAGGTAGAGGTTGAGTTATAGTGGTACAAACAGAKATAGGTATAGATATAAAGATGGGGATAGAGATGGTGATAGAAATAGAGATAGTGAAATAAAGATAGAGATAAAGAGAGAGAGAGATAAAGATAAAGATATAGATCTAGACAGAGATAGATAGAGATAGAGATAGAGATAGAGATAGAGATAGAGATAGAGATAGAGATAGAGAAAGAGATAAAGATAGAGGTAGAGATAGAGCTAGGGATAGAGCAAGGGTTGGAAGTAGAGAGAGGGAAGGGTGAAGATAGATAGAAGAAGATAAAGACAGAAGTAGAGAGAGAAGATATAGTGAGATGAAACTCAACAGAATAATTCCAGAAAATCCTGGATAAGTTAAGAAGCTAAATCGTTTTGTTTCTAATATAAGTATACATGTAAATGTATATATATTCTAGGACAGTCTTTTTAGGTCACAACGTATTATTTATCTTTATTTCGAGTTCTTGAAATAAAAGCTCAAAAGTAATAAAAAGATGGTAATCATCAGCGGGACTAAGTAGAAGATTCTACAACGCTTACAAGTATTCTTAGCTGCGTTTACACACATGAACCCTTCTTCCAATACCAATAAGAGTAAGCGGCAAAATTATTTCATAGTAGTACTCTTGATAATAGTCCAACCAAAAAGCCAAATCATTCAAATGTTGTACTAGAAGTATACATGCGAAAGCTCAACGATTGCTGATTATTCTAATATAGTACTGTAGATATTTCATATTGACTAAATAATTTCCCTCAAGGGTATAACGTGTTGTCTGTATATAGAATATTCATTGATGTGAAACTGTCACTGATTTTGCAATTTTTTCTGTATTTTTCCTTCCCTTCATTGCCTCCACACATTTCTCTTGCTAGTTGCTCATTGAGCGCGGCGCCTCGAGTACAGTAATGCGATTGCGATGCATAAAAACGGCTATAATGCAATTGCAACATGACGCAAATTGGCAAACGTTAATTTCGATTGCGGTTAAATCTGACTACTTTTGATTTATTTTACGCCACATTTGCTGTTCGATGACATTA